TCTATTGCTCCAGTTCAGCAGCATTTTCTTGCTTGGCCCCATCAGGGAAACGTGCAAAGCAGTAATGCCCCCTCCCAAAAGAGACCCAAAGGATGAAGTATTGAGATGGACATATACACAACCTCCCTCTCCAGCTGGGAACAGCTTTCACTGCAGGCATCTCCTGCCAGCGTTTGCAATCTCTTCTCCATCAAGCCTGTGAGTTCACATTTTCCATGACAACACGATACATCCTAAAATACTCAATTTGCTGGAATCAAAAAACAACCCCTCTGGTACCAAAAGGAAATCATCCGTATCCGAGCAGTCAAAAGAACATACAGTAAAAACTCTCTATTTACAATGCAGATTCTTCTCCCAGATCAGAGTCAGTCCAAACCAAAGGACTTCGGTCCTATCGATGGGCCCGCATGCATTCTGGATAATGAACTGTTCATGTTTTTCACAAACAAACATGTTCTCCACTTGACAAATCCAAATGCTTTGGAAAACCTCATAGAATAACAATACAGCTGGAAGGGATCTTGGAGGTCTTCTAGACCAACCCCCTGTTCTAGCAGGGGACCCTATATATTTCAGACAAATGGCTGTCTAGTCTCTTCTTAAAAACCTCCAGTGATGGAGCACCCACAACTTCTGAAGGCCAGCCGTTCCACTGATTAATTGTTCTCACTGTCAGGAAATTTCTCCTGAGTTCTAGGTTGCTTCTCTCCTGGATTAGTTTCCATCCATCGTTCCTTATCTTGTGTTTTGGTCCTTTGGAAAATAGCTTGACCTTCTTATCTTTTTAGAAGGCCCTCAAATATTGGAATACAGCTATCATGTCACCTCTAGTCCTTCATTTCACTAGTGTAGACAAACCCAATTCCTCCAACAGTTCTTCGTATGTTTTAGCCTCCATCCCCCTAATCATCTTTGTTGCTCTTCTCTGCACTCTTTCCAGCGTCTCAACATCTCTTTTATAATGTGGTGACCAAAACTGGATCCAGCATTCTAAGTGTATCGCACCTTTCCAACTCCATTTTAAAACAGACTCTTCACACACCGGAGCTGCCCTGGGTCACACCAAACCTAGCCACCGAATTAATTCAGCAAATCATGGCTTGCTGTGACGGATTAACCAGACCTCTGCCATTGACCGACAACACAGCCAGTATGGCTGGTATAAATAACAGGGTACAGCTAGCCCTTGACTTACAATAACCCATTTAGTGACTGTTCAAAGTTACAATGGCACTGGAAAGATGTGAGTCATAACCATTTTTCACATTTATCACCTCTGCCGCATCTCCATGGTTGCATGATCCAAATTTGGATACTTGGCAACTGATTCATATTTATGATGGTTGCAGTGTTCCGGGGTCATGTGATCCAACTTTTGCAAACTTCTGACAAAGTCAATGGGGAAACTGGATTCACTTAACAACCTTGTTACTAACTTAACAACTGCAGCGATTCAGTTAACAACTACGGCAGGAAAGGTCATAAAATGGGGCAAAATTTATTTAACAAATGTCTCGCTTAGCAACACAAATGTTGGGCTCAATTGTAGTGGTAAGTCAAGGACCACCTATATGATCTTATCTTGAACAACATATCGCTGGCGTTGCGCTGTTCCACCCCCACTGCACTGAAGGGCTATCCACCCATCCTTCAGTCAGCAGAAAACTCTACCAGCATAAAATCTGTGGTCCTCAATCACTATCTGACTTGTGCATCGCCAACCATCATCTGCCTTCGGCTGCCTCTGTTCCTGCTCGCTGCCTATTTCTTTCCAAAGGAGCAGATGACCTGGCATCTTGCATACCTTGAGGTTACTCTTGAAAGGTGCTGAATGTCAACCTTGATCTTTCTACGAGTTCTGTGATTACGTGTATCCATCCCATCAACCTCAAAGAAACTTCTGAATGGTATAGGATCTCCTGCCATGGGCAGGGGTTTGGACTAGAAGACCTCCAGGGTCTCTTTCAACCCTATTATTCTATGTTATATATTCTGTGGTCTGTTCCACTCAATATGGCTAGAGATAAGGTGCGGGATGAGGAGTGGGAAGACTCCAAAAGTCAACAGTTGGTCTAGGGACAGCCTCAGCTCATTCTATCTCGCACAGTTCCTGTGGTGGAGGAAGACAGCAAGAGGCAGCAGTACGGATGCTTTGATCTACAAAGAATAAAGTATACTTACGTGCTCTTGGCCTGGAAGAGAGAAATCTTCAGCAGCAGATAAGGCTTCCTCCATAAGTTTTGCCTGGTTCTTGCAAGGTCCTGTTTCTGGATTGTCCACGTTTTCCTCTTTAATGTCCACCAGAAAAAGACAATCTGGAAGAAGGAAGAATATTAAGGGTCAACCTTGAGACAGGTTGCTTAAATTCTGGCTCCCAAAAGGGCCCACAGCGTGAGCAAAAAATGTCAAGATGATCAAAACCCCACACTTTTTTTACACCGTGGTTTGTAACCTAGCACACTGTTCAAACATAAGTGTGTTTTACGGCTGAATGCATTGTGTGAATCCAAAAAAGGAGGTAATTCAGTAACTGAGTTGTATGTGCTGCATGCCTACAAAACTACAGATCGTAGAATCATAGGTCTGGAAGGTCTTCTAGTCCAACTTATACCATTTTGGTGCTTTGGAAAATAGCCTGACCCTCTCGTCTCCGTAGGAGCCCCTCAAATATTGGAATACTGCTATCACGTCTCCCCTAGTCCTTCTTTTCATTAGACTACCAGACCTACCCAATTACTGTAACCATTCTTCGTACGACCAAATAAGGTAAAGGAGACCCACTCTACAAAGGAGATATCGTTATTACTAAACATGCTGACATATTTCTGAGTGGAAGAAGGCCCTCCAGGATTAACAGCAATCTTATTTTTAACATCTTTATGTACCGACTGAAGTTGACAAAGCACGTGGTTTGCTTCCATCACCAGCAAGAGACAAGGCTTCCACAAAGTACACAGTTTTTCTTCCCAGTAATGCTTGAATCATCGACGGAGCGTTTCTCATTCTCATAAAAACACTTCCAAGAACTCAAAATTCACTTTAAAATTCCAGAGACGTCCAGCAAATAAGCCAGTGGTGGCGAAACCTATGGCACGGGTGCCAGAGGCGGCACTCAGAGCCCTCTCTGTGGGCACACGCACCATTGCCCCAGTCCTAGGCCTTCAGCTGGGTTTTATCAAACCTTTTCACTTTTGGCCTCCGCCGTAATGTGCAAAAAAAAAAAAAGGTTTAATCAATCAATTTCAACTTTTCACGGGAAAAAAAGATCTTGCAAAGTTGGAATTGATTGATTGAACTTTTTAGTCCCACCCAGTCTGCCGTTACTACCGCAGCCACGCCCACCCAATGGGCCACACCCAGCCAATGGGCCACACCCGGCCGGCACCCGACGATGCATAAGTGGGTTTTGGGTTGCAGTTTGGGCACTCGGTCTCTAAAAGGTTCGCCATCACTGAAATAAGCCTTCTTTAATCATTCCTTTGAGCTAACGCAATGAGCTACCTACCTAAAAAGACAGAATGCATCACAGGGCAAAACCTCAACCGGAACCATTTTATTTTTTAACTCTTGCCAGCCAAATACCTTCGATGTATAGCTCCACCCCAAACTCCAAGCATTTCATTCATGGTTTTCTTGAAATCAGCTTCTTTTTGCAGCAAAATGCAGCTGGATAGAAGCAAAGAGTACAGCCATGCTGGTTCTTGGGGGGGAGGGGGGGGGGATCTTGTCTCTGTACTAGTGACCTAAATTTACTTTCCTTTCAATCTAGGCCTCAGAACTGTTTAGCCCTTCCATTTTATCCCAGTTTTCTTAAACGTACCATATACAAAGAACATTCACCTATCTATTGCACTACTGTTCAAAAGTATTTGCAAGCAGAAATAAAGCATGCTATTTTCATATTTATGGTCTCTTTATAAACTGATGGACAAGTAGTTCTCAACTTATAGCCATTCTTTTAGTGACCGTTCAAAAGTTGCAACGGCACTGAAAAAAATGACTTGTGACCGTTTTTCACACTTACGACCATTGCAGCACCCCCTTGGTCACGTGATCAAAATTTGGACAGTCGGAAATTGGCACCTATTGATGACGGTCGCAGTGTCCCTGGGTCACGTGACCCCCTTTTTTGTGACCTTGACAAGCAAAGCTGATGGGGAAGCCAGATTCAACCATCTGACTAACTTAAGAGCCGCAGGGATTCATTTAACAACGGTGGCAAGAAAGGTTGCAAAACGGGGCAAAACTCGCTTAACAACTGTCTTACTTAACAGCAGAAATTTTGGGCTCAATTATGGTCGTAAGCCAAGGGCTACCTGTGCAGTATTTTGTTGAAGCAGAACAGCCCTTAATATGTCAGCCAGACAGGAGGTTACCAAAAGATGAGGGCAATTCCAGCTATGACAAAATAAAAGTCCTTTTGTGAAAAAAAAACTGCCAGCCTTGGTTTTCTACTTTCCACAAAGGGTTCTCTTCTCTGCTGCACATAGTAGCTGGAGAGTGTAAAACCTTCCTGAACTTAACACGGCTGAATTGCGTTAAAAAAAAGAAAGAAAAAAGTAATTGTGTATACTCATACATAAAGAGAATATTCTGTTGGGAAGTTGCAATAAACCCACCCCGGAGTGTTTTTTTAAAAAACAACACAAAGGGGTAGATGGGAGAGGAACTAGAGTTATAAAACATGCCATTAGAGGGGTGGTCTTCTGCTTCTCCCCCTTCCCCAGAGTATAGGTACCAGATAACCATCCGGGGAGTAAATTTAGAAAGAGAGGCCGCTTGCATTTGCTAGATTCCAGAAATTCTATCTTGGGCATTTCTGCAGAGCTGAAAGAGACTCTGCCATCTTAAATAACCCAAGCCTGGTAAACAAGGTCAGGACGTCACATGGGCTGGTTCTCCAGCCACAATGTCAACAGTGAGTTTTGGCCAGCAGATAGCAGCAGCCTTGGCCTCGTTTATACACGCCGCCGTTCCCTTCTGTTCAGGCTGGTGGGGAAGGAAGAGTTCCCATTTAATGCAAAGGAAATAACATCCCTGATTTTTTACGGCAAGGAAAAAGGAAAGAGAAATCCCTGACTGCCGGTCTTCAAAAATGCCTCTCTCACCTAATGTAAAGTGGATCGGAAGCCTCGATAAAAGGCTTTCGTTTTATTTTAAAAGGTGACCCCTGCAAAGAGTTCACTGGTTTTAAATGGAGCAGAAGAATAGTTTGATGCATGATGGAGAGGGAAGAAAGGTGCCTCCTACACACACTCATAACTCAAGTTTAACGGGACAGGAGAGGGAAGCCATTTTTGGCTCCTGCTGCAGAAATGACCTGAAATGAATCATTTCCACCCCTCCCACTCTCAAAATCCAGTCTTGGGTTGCATCAACAGAGGGATAGTTTCAAGAGGACGTGAAGTGATAGTACAGCTCTACACTGTGCTAGTAAGACCACACTTGGAATGCTGTGTCCAGTTCTAGTCACCACGATACAAAGAAAGATGTTGAGACCTTAGAAAGAATGCAGAGAAGAGCAACAAAGATGATTAGTGCAGGGGTCCCCAATCCCAGGTCTGTAGACCAGTACTGGGCCACGGCATGCCAGCAACCAGTCCGCACAAACAAGGAAAGCCCCATCTGCAGGCAGCACACAAAACCACGCACTCTCCAGTCCGTGGAAAAACCTCTTTCCACGTAACCGGTCCCTGGTACCCAAAAGGTTGGGGATCTCTGGATTAGGGGATTGGAGGCTAAACCATACAAAGGAAGATAGAGGGAACTAGGTATGTCTAACCCAGGGTTAGGGAATCTTGGCTCTTTTATGACTTGTGGACTTCAATACCCAGAATTCCTGAACCAGCCATGCTGACTCAGGAATTCTGGGAGTTGAAATCCACAAGTCATAAAAGAGCCAAGGTTCCCTACCCCTGGGCTAGCCTAATGAAGAGAGGGACTAGCCGTCTCCCAATGTTTGAGGGGCTGTCACAGAGAAGATGAGATTGACATATTATGAGTCGTGGTGGCGCAGTGGTTAGAATGCACTATTGCAGGCGTACTCTGCGACCGTCATAAATACGCTAAAATAAAGCCAATTGAGAAAAAAATGCTGCATCACCCAGAATAAAAAAAAGTATAAAGTAATAAAAAAATGATTACAAATCTGATCAGACTGAAAATGTGAAAGTAAGAATCAAACGTACAATTTTAATACACTATTAATGGTCAGATGTATCATGGAAAAATGCCACGGAAATTTGGGGAAAAAAATCCTTCTGGCATTTTTACTTTTCAACACGGGGCTAAGAGTATAAAATACATACAGTAAATCAGTACAAGCAGCAAAGGCTAGATTCACGATTTTACTATCCGTAATTTAGTTCTTTTTACAGCTTGCTAAGCCAAAAACCAACCACTGTGATATGAAAACATAATTTATGGCTCGCTATTGTACACCAGCCAATTGTGATTTCTGCAGCGGGCCAATAAACCACGATGGAATACCGTATGTGAACTTAGTCATTCAACAGGAAATAGGAAGCATGTTTAAGTTCCGGTTCAGAAGTCCAGGGTTCAAATCAAATCAAAAGATATTTGTTGAATTCTTTTGGCAAAAATCAGAATACAAAAGAATCAGAGGAGAAAAATAGAAAACACTGCCATCCAATCCTGTCTTGCAGATCAGTGTTTTTCAACCTTTCAGACGTGTGGACTTCCAACTCCCAGGATGCTGACTGGGGAATTCAAAATACGATTAAGTAGGAAATGGCCAAGAGAGAAAAGGAATTATTGCCAGCCTGTCTTAACAAAAATAAACCACACAAATATTTGCTTTCAAAGTAAAAACTGTTTCAAGTTTGAATAAACAATGCCCTATCTTTAGACTTCAGATGGACTGAAGAGAGGGAAAACAACAATCAGCCCCAAAACACAGCCCTTAGAAAACTTTACATTTCTAAACAACATCAGTTACAACATAATAAACATTACTTAAAAGGACACAAGTCTTTAATGGTTACCAAATGTGAATTTATTCAGAAATGTGGCAAGGCCATCTCTACCAAAAACCACAAGGATCCAAAGAAATCAACATTTTTAGGGTTTTTATTTCTACAACCTCCCTACCACCATCACCATCAAAAAAAATAGGGAGTTATTTTCAGCAAATTCGATGAAAATTCTTCATGGAAACTAAAAACCGTCCAAGTTCAAAAAACCATTCTGCAGCTTAGCGTGATGGCCCCTTCACGCCTCATAATGCAACCTAGTTTTGGTGACTTTAATTCCCGAGGGATGCTCAATGTAGCTTTGGCCAAGCAAGGCGGGCAGACGTGTTTGGAAACACAGGTCCAAAATAACAGAATAGAGTAACAACGTTGGAAGGGACCTTAGAGGTCTTCTAGTCCAACTCTGGCTCAAGCAGGTGACCCTATATCATTTCAGACAGGTGGCTGTCCAGTCTCTTCTTAAAAGCCTCCAGTGATGGAGCAACCACAACTTCTGAAGGCAAGCCATTCCACTGGTTGATTGTTCTACTAGGAAGTTTCTCCTTAGTTCTAGGTTCCTTCTCACCTTGATTAGTTTCCATCTGTTGCTTCTTGTCCTGCCTTCAGGTGCTTTCGAAAATAAATTGACCCCTTCTCTGTGGCAGCCCCTCAAATATTGGAACATTGCTATTATGTCACCCTTATTCCTTCTCTTCATATATATATATATATAATTTATGGCTGAGATAAATATATATATATATATATCTCAGCCATAAATTATATATATATATGAAGAGAAGGAATAAGGGTGACATATATATATATACCCAATTCCTGCAACTATTCTTCATATGTTTTAGTCTCCAGGCCCCTAATCACCTTTGTTGCTCTTCTCTGCACTCTTTCCAGAGTCTCAACATCTTTTTTACATCATGGTGACCAAAAACTGGATGCAGGATTCCAGATGTGGCCTTACTAAGGCCTTATAAAGCGGTACTAATACGGTACTTCCAGCTTTGTGCTCAACCGGCTCTCTCGGCGCGCGGGGAAGGAGCCCCCAGCTTTTCCCCGCCTTTGGCCCCCTCCCTCCAAAGGCAGAGCTGAGCTTCCCGCCCCCGTCCCCGGTTGCCAGGGGGGTTCTCCTCCTCCTCGGCAGGGCCGCAGAGCGATTGCAACGCCCCATCCTTTGCGCCCCATCTCTTGCTGAGTCTGCAGCGCCAACCAGCGCGGGTTTTGCAGGGCGCAAAGCGGCCGCTGCTGCCCCTTCCCAACCCGGGGACGCCTGGCACGACTTCCAAGGCCTTCCCTGAACCCCAGCGCCATTGCAGGAGGCACAGCTGCACTCTGCGCATGGCCAGAGACCTCCTCGCGCCTTGCGCCCTTTCCGGTTCCTTACCGGCACCGCCTCTCCCCGAGCGCAGCCGAGAGGGCACCGCCATTTGCCCTTCCTGCCCGCCCGCGCGCAACGGGGAAGGCCGCGCAGAACCGCCCCGCTTTCCCGCGCCCAGCCCGCGGATGCCGGCGTGCAAATTACGGCCATGCAACCCCGCGGAACCAATCGCCGTTTGCGCAACCGCCTGGCTGCCCTCCAGGGCTGGCTGGTTGGTGGGGAAGGAGGAGAGCGGCTGGCTTCGCTCGGCCCCCGGTT